TAGTAGCTCACTGGGCTTGAGCCCTGCATGGGAGACAAGCTATTATTATAGCAGAGGCCAGCAGCAGTAAGTCACCCAGGGGTTGAACCAGCAAACAAAATCAGGAAATAGCTGCTGCAGCTCAGGGAGTCACCTGACTGAAAGGGGGCCGGGCCAGGGAGGTACATAAACACAGGCCCTTAGCCAGGAGGCAGTCTGGCCTCGGAGGCTGCAGAAACAAGAGTTCCAGAGCTGGGGAAATACAGTAGTTTATTTATCTGGCACTGGAGCTGTCTTGAGGCAGGCAACAGAGTGCTGCTGTCCTATAGAGGAATGTTACCTGGGGTAAGGGGAGCCTTGTTATGCAGGTGGGTAGCCATTGTTCTTGTTTGGACCCAGAAGTGGTTTAGTTTTTGTTATGGCCAGAAGGCTTACTTCTTGGTTACAGTTTCAACTGGTGATTTGGGTGCGGATGAAAGAGGAGTGTGATGAGGTTTCAGTGGGGTGCCTGAGGAGCGAAGGGTGGTTTAACCCACAGCAGGATACCAGGGGCCATACCAGTGTTTAGGGCCCAGCTAAAGGCCTTGATTCAGGGCATACCGTAGGCTTAGGTTCAAGGAGCAGGTGAAAGCCTAGAGATAGCAAAAGAGGCTAAAGCCTAGCTGGGGCAGGAGCCAGACAAGGGCCAGGGGTCTCAATGCCCAGGAAGGGTGGAGGCCAGGGTCCTGTTAATAAAAAGGGACAGAGACAATTGCCAGGAGGCCCAGGAACCTAAGCAGGCTCAGTAAACGTATTGCCCAGGATAGGGGATGGACAAAGCTTAATTCGGCAAGACAGTGGGCTAGAGTCCAGAAGCCAGGTCTGAGACAGCGGGCCTTGGATAAGGGCCCATCTAGAGTAGAGGGGTGGAAGCTGAAAAGGCCAAATCCCCAACAAGGGAGTAAAGGCCTAAGGTGGCCTGGTGGCTTTGGGGACAAGTTTCCCATGTGAGTGATGATGCATAACACCTGTGAGGAATGGGCATGACTGTAGGGGAGGTTTGGAGGCTGTGATTAGACCATAAGGTAACAGGTACCTTGAGACACATGTGGGCCAGGGGAGCTCCACCTAATGGGAGAGATTGGTGCAATCAGTGGAGTCAGAGAGAGAGGGAAACCACTGGTGGGAATAGACCAGGGCTCACTCTAAGACCCGTGGGCAGCTTCCCATTTTAATCTGTTAATAAGAACAAGGCATGGCAGGAAAGAAGTAAAGGAAACGTATCTTAGAGACTGAGCTAGGACCCATACAGCTATCAGAGAGCAACACAGCCCCCTTTGGGGCCCAGTCCTGTTACAATACTTAGTGGGGAAGGAGAGAAAATGATAAATGACACAGAAAAGGCTAAAATGTTCAATGCCTCTTAAAACTTAAGTCTTCACAAAAAAGGTTAGTTGTGACCAGACACTTAACAAGATTAAAATCAATAACAAAAGAGTAAAAATATAGACTAGAACAGAAAAAGAAAGGGAAAAAGAATATTCAGATAATATGACTTGGCAAGGCCTAATAAAATTCATTCTAGATTATCTAAGAAACTGAAGCAGCCCATTTGCCATTAGTAACTATTTTTAGGAACTTCTGGAGGAATGGTTAAGGTCCCAGGGGGCTGGAGAAGGACAGATCTAGCATTTACCTTAAAAAGGGGGAAAAGAAGGATCCAGGAAATTACAGAGCTGTCAGCCTAACAACCAAGGTTGGTTTGACATGATTTGTTTTGACAGAGGGAAGCAATAAAAATGGTAACAGTTTACAATATATACTGTATGACTAGAGGTTGGCGATGTCTGATAATAATTGGGTTTGTGATTATACAGCTTCTGGTTCTGGTGCCAGTGTGAGCAGAGCTAGTTTGTATATTATCAAGGTGCACTTTATCCAATATAGACTCCAGTACATGAGAGAGTTCAGAGTATCTATGCACAACTTTACGTTGTACCATGTAGACCAGTGTTCTCAATCTTTGTCACCTCTGGGGACCCTTCTATATCTGTTCTGAATCTACACCTGAGGGGGAAAGTGTAGTTCCCATCACTGAGGCTGATCCTGTGGAGTCTCATAAGCCAGCAAGTACCCTCACAGGCTCTTCCGCTGTCTATGGGAGGAGCGGGGCAGATGAGATAGACTACAAAGCTTGGCTCCATCTGTGCATCTGCCCACCCACCCATAGCAGACTGAACTGCCTGGGAGTGTGGGGGCAGCTGGCACAGGGGTTGCCTGGGAGCAGAGGAGGCTTGCAATGGAAGCAGTCCTCAGAGAAGCATCCATAAGCACCACTGGGGTAGCTGGGGCAGGTGCAGGGCACTGGAGCTGAAAGCATTTACCTCATCACACAGGGGCTGGATGGCATTACATCCTTAAGGGGATCTCACAATCTCCAGTTGAGAATCACTTCTGCGGACCTATTCAGTATATCTTGAAATAGGTAAAAAGTTAATCTGAAGAGGAGGGTGATGAAGTGTTTGGGTATCCACCAACATCAGGCTGGTCTGGATATTTTTTATTCATTCCAGCTCTACATTCCTAAGATTTCTCTGGGTTTGACTAACCTCTTTGGGATAAGTTGTTTTTATGTACGGTCTAAAGTGCCAGTGACTATATTAATAATCATAATGATCATATAGTAACTTCAAACTAGTTATGGGAATATGGGCCTGTATTATACAGGTAGTCAGATAGCATAAATAGTCCCTTCTGCATTTGAAACCTGGAGATAATTAAATATTAAAATTATAAAGCTAACATCATTTGCTTTAACAGTAGAGGACTTGTTTGAAATGTTATTGTACTCGAAATGTTTCAGGCATTTGCATGAGCATTAAATGTTTCTTGCAAATAGTGTCCATAACACAAAGAGTGCCATTTTAGTTTCACATTATTCTATAATTATTAACATTTTAAATCTAGCTTTTGGCTAGTACATGCAGACTGACCTTTTTGTAGTCTTCTATTGCAGTTTTTTATACAAATAGCATGGCAGTCTAATTATGCACTTGTGTACAAAATATAAAGTGCCCCATCTGCAAAAATATTATTTAAAAAATCCAAATGTTATATGTTGATTCAGCAATGTATAATGGCTCAAGAAAAGTTAATTTTCTTGGTAAACATTACTTGCATTATTACTCATC